CAAATATGGGAGAGAGAGAACACACTGGATAATAAAGTCAGGATCCAAAAAGATTTTTAACAGGCTATACACTGGGCAGAATCAAATGAGATGAAATTTAATGGTGGATTCAGAAAATTAACCTTTCAGCTGTAAGATAGTAGACGCAAAGCTAGACATCAATTCATCTAGGAAAGAGCTAGGGCAGGGGTGGGGAACCTGAGGCCTTGAGGCTACAAGTGGCTTTCTAGGTCCTGGGGTGCAGCCTTTTGACTGAATCCAAGTTTTACAGAACAAATCCTTTTATTAAGGGGATTTGTTCTGTGAAGTTTGGATTCAGTCAAAGGGTCACACTTGAGGACCTAGAGGGCCACATGTGGCCCCCAGTTCCCATTCTAGGGGTATCAGTAGACTCTAATTTCAGTGCGAGGCAACAGTGTGACACCAAGAAAGCGAATGTAAACCTAAACTCTATTAAGACAGTTACAGTTTCCAGGAATAAGTGGGTGATAGGCACAGGATTACAATTTCAGCGTTAGAAGGAACCTTTGAGGTCATCTAGCCCACCTGGATTGCTGGGCTTGGTTTAGGATATGTTTTAGTGATGAGGTGGAATGGGTCTAAATCAGAGCAACCTCCATGGTCTCCAGTTCAAGCATATGAGAATCGGCCGAAGGAAATGGTAATTTTTAGAATGGAGAAGCGACTTGGAGGATGCATGGTAACTCTCTTCAAGCTGAGGAAAGGCTGCCATGGGAAGGACTGGTCCCTGTTAAAAGGGCTGTGAGTAGTGGGGGAAGGTTACAAGGAGGCAGATTTCGGACGGATAGCAGTCAGAGAGATCCAAAAGGGGCAGAGGGCTGCCTTGGGACAGAGCGAGCTCCACTGCACTGAAGGTCTTCAAGCCAAGGCGGGTTTCGGGCCTGACTCCTGGGAAGCGGGGTCTCCAGGGCCTCTGAAGTGCCTTTCCAGCTCCCAACAAAACCTAGACTTTCTGATGTCTAGTGGAGGGCTGAAGCAGCTTAAGGGGCAACCGAAAGGAGAGCAGGTTCCGCACAGAACGGGGAGGGGAGGGCAGAGGAGGGAAGGTAAGGGAAGGGAAAGCAAGGCAAGGCCAGGCCACGACAGGCCTGGCCAGGCCCGGCCCACGAGCTCCTGGACTGACCCTCCAAGCCGGTTCTCTTTATGCCTGTCTAGGCCCCGCCCCCCGGCGCACGCGCCCCTTGCCTCTCCCCCACCGGTGTGCGCGCGCTCCTCCCACCTGTGCGCGCACTTCCCGTAGTTCCAGGCTCGGGCTCCAGGCTGCCCACGTGACTCAGCAGTGACGCCATGGTAACGTTTTCGTACGCCTCGTAGATTGCCCCCAAACAATCCCCGAGGAGCGCCCCAGCCAGGCAGCCCCGGAACCGCGATAGGGAACGCGCCGCCCCGGCCGCCGCGCCGCTCGCCATCGCCGCCATCGCAGCCGCCATCAACCGCCACAGTCTATCGCCACTTCCGGGGGCGCCGGCACGCCCACCTCCCTTCACGCCCCCCGCCCCTTCCCCGCCCTGCAGAAAAGCGTCAGGTCGAGCTACCCGGGAAGCCGCGGCCTCGCGCAGATCCCGCCCCTGCCCTGCTAGACCTTGCCTCTGCCCTGCAAGGCCCCACTCCCCATACTGGGCCCCCCTCCTTTGCCCCAAGCAGGCCCCGCTTCTGCCCTGCAAGGTCCCACCCCCATACGGGGCATAGGCCCCCCCTCCTTTGCCCCTCCCCTTCCTCCACTCCGACCCCCACTCTCCCTCGCGAGGCGCCGCCCCCTGCAAGGCTCCGCCTCTCCCGGGCGTTTGCTCCCACCCGTTCTCTTTTCACTGGCTGTTATCACGACACATCGAACTTCTCTGGACCTTTAAAACGGACGGGCTGGGAGAGACCTTTTTGGTCTGGCTCGGCTGCAAGCACTCCGTGCTTTGTAGCCTCAAAGCCGCCTGGGACCCGGACGGCTCGGGTCACTCGCCCAGGCTGACGCAGCCAGGCGGCAGCTTCGGAAGAGCCCGAGACACTTGTCGATCCACTGGGGAAGGGCTAAGACCGTCACAGAACACGAGGTGATGTTTCTAAAGCGCTCTGCAGACCTTAAAGCGCTTTATAAATGCTAGTTATTTGATGGAGCTGTGTACAAACGAAGAAGTTGATGAATACAGAGAAGCATGCAGAGGACTTAGGCGAAGTGGCGCAGAATGAAGTCAGGGAGCCAGGAAAACCATCAGTACAGTGGCCACAACAAGAAGGAACCTTGTCATGGTTAAGACTTGAACCAAGGTATACTAGCGTAGTCGATAAGTGCCTTGGACTTGGAATGAGGACAGGAGATGGAATTCTGCCTCAGGCACTTAGCACCTAACCCTGGGCAAGGCTTTTCACCCTGAGCTTCAGTTTCCTTGTCTGTAAAATGGGGATAATAGCTCCAATCTCATGAGTTTCCTATGAGGATCAAATGAAATAACTCACCTACATTTATTAACAGTTACATAATTATGAACTGTTATTAAAGCCAGCCCTCTACCCGTTATGGCATGTGGCTGCCTCCTAGCAAGAACCTTAGGGGTATCCAATCTAGGTATCCCACCCCACCCTCTTTATTTTACAGATTGAAGAAACTGAAGCTTAGAGCAAGGGGTCTTTCCAAGTAAGTAGCAGAAGAGAATTCAAATCCCAGCCCAGTGTGGTGTAAAGCATCCAGGATTTGGAGTCAAACTGCTCTGAGTTGTAATCCTAGCTTTTCCTCTTAGTGGGATTCGGGGAAGGGAGCTTCAAAGGGCAGAAGTAACTTCTTGCAGCCTTAACCAAAGAGAATTGGTCTAGAATAGGGGTTCTTAACCTGTGGTTAAGACGGATTTCAGGAAGTTCATGAGCTTGGATGGGGGGGAAAATGACATCTTTATTTTCACTAACTTCTAACTAAAATTTGGTGTTCTCTTCAGTTTTATAAGATTTTCAGAAGAGGTCCTTAGGTTTCTATAGACCATGGCCAAAAGGGTCAATCACACAAAAAAGGTCTGAATTAGAGGCCAACTAAAGCTCCTCCTAACTGTGACATTCTATGATTCTTCAAGTCTGTTTCTTTGTCCAACTAAGCTCCCTTAACTACTGATTTTCCCTGATGGGTTCAGAATTTCCTGAGGATGGGGACAAAGCTTTAAACATCTCCATTTCTGCTTACAACCCCACTTGACCTAGGACACTGCAAGCATAGTTTTAATACTTCAGAGATCTGTGGTTTCCATGTTATATTTACCTGCACAGATCTCAATCTTACCTCTATACCTTTAGAAGGTGGTTTCTTGGGGGCGACTAGGTGGCATAGTGGATAGAGCACCGGCCCTGAAGTCAGGAGAACCTGAGTTCAAATCCGGCCTCAGACCAAATACTTGACACTTACTAGCTGTGTGACCCTGGGCAAGTCACTTAGCCCCAATTGCCTTAAAAAAAAAAAGGAAAAAAGGTGGTTTCTTAAGTTATGTTTAAAAAACTCATCCATTCATGGCCAAATTGTAGAATTTCAGCAGCGGAAGAGTCCTTAGAAATTAGTCACTTAATCTCTTTGGACCTCATCCGTAAAATAAGGAGGTTGAACTGGATGACTTGGAAGGGCATTTCCAGCTCTAGCTCTTATAATTTGGTTCAATTCCCAGATTTTGCACCTAAGGAAATGGAAGCCCAGAAAGGGAGAAAGGCTTGCCCAAGGCAAGCATTTGGTGATGAGCCTTTTCCACATTTCGTCTAGGCTGGACCTTGGTCCTTGTATGATATCCATACAATAGTAACAATAGGCCTATACTCAGACTCTTTCCAGCTTAGTAGGACCTTTCAGTCGTGCACAGGCAGCTGTCATTGGAGTACTCTGTACACAGTAGGTGCCTTATAAGTGTTGAATTTGAATAAACGTTTGCTTATTTCCCAAATGATGGTTTCCTGAAGTCATGAATCTCTCCTGAGTGAAACTTAAGAAGAGAAATTTCTCTTGGGCCCCTTCAGACCTGGTAGGCCTCTCCCTGGTCAATGTTATAGATAGAACATTTCAGGAAAGCACTTGACAAGAGTTTTATGCTGTCCTTTGGGCCTTCAGACAGGCTGTTCCCAGAGTGTAAAATGCAGCCCTAGCCTCTTCCTCTTGCATTCCTTAGCTTCAAGGTTCTATTCAGGTACCACCACCTCCCATACACAGATATGCCTGATCCCACCAAGAATAAGTAGTTCACTGAGTTTCAAACTGGAAGTGAAGGCACTTGCAGGGAAAAGGGGGAGGGAGCTGTTATTCAAGAGAGACATTGCCATACAGAGAGGGCAACAAAGGCACTAGAACAGATGCCTATGGGGAAGAACATAAGCGGGTGCTCCCACCATTCCCAGCTCCATGGGTAGATTGGTGTACTGATCAGGTGTGCAGTAAGAGGCATCCAAGGCCCCTCAAACATCTAGAGTTTTTGACAGTTTGTATCACCTGTGAGGCAAGGTGGTGGGCTAGTCCAGACCACTGAAATCAGGATATTCTCAGAATTGCCTAATAAGGAATGAAAAATGAAGGGCAAAGACTCAGGAAATAATTCTACCTCTACCACAGCAAGCAAGCATCAGGGGAAAGGCATAATGCTGGTATCTGGATGGATTAAGACAGCCTACATGCATCCCTGGGGACTGGGGCCATATAAGTTGAAACTTGTTTTCATCAGCTCACAGAATTAGACATCTTACCAATTAGGAAACTGAGGCCCAGAGAGGGTTAGTAATTTGCTCAAGGTCACACAGTATATAGTAAGTAGTAGAGTTGGGATTCAAACCCAGGCCCTCTGACTCCAAATCTCGTCTTCTTTCCATTATACCATGCTGCTTCCACATCCGGGGCTTCTTGGAGGCAGCAATTAAATTTCTTTGGAAGCCCAGAAACACAACCCATAATATCTGTTAATGGACCTCTTCTGAGGCAAGTCTCTGAGCCAGAAGCATTCTAAATACCTAAGAGAAATTAGAGATCTCCCAACTCAAGTCACTTCATCTTTATTAACACACATCATACTAATGTCTCGCTCCTTGTGGGCAGACCTCTTTCCCTTTTTATCTTTCTGCAGTGCTGAATATGATGCCTGGCAATTCCATGCAGCTTTCACTAAGCTACTACTACCATGTGCAAGATAAATGACTGTGACAAAGATCTGGCCAGGTGACACAGTCAAGGGAAATAAGCCTCCAAAGAGAGATTGCTTATGGTGGCAAAGTGATAGTCTGGGAGTGACAGTGAAGAGCAGAAAAGTATGCCCATGCCTCCCTTTAGCCCAGTCTGTTGGGGGAGCACTGGGGAAGGAGTATCTAGTACCAGAGAGGGGAGCCACAGATGCAGTGTCTTCCAGAGGAAGCTAGGTTTCCATGAGTGCCACGAGATGGGAAAAGTGTCCGATGAAGAAGTCTTCCATCCAGTAGGCATTTTATAAACATTTGTAGAATTGAACACGATGAGAGACGTGGGCTCAATAATAGGATGCTGAGGTAGACTGGGGACTGGTTGAAAGACCAGATCAAATTAGCAGTCATCAATGGCTTGATGTCTTCTTGGGGGTGGGGGAGACTCTAGTGGAGTACCCTGACAATCTGTCCTTAGGCCTAGGCTGCTTAATATTTGTATAGTGATTTGGATAAAGCCATCTAAAGCAGTCTTATTAAGTCTAGAGAGGACAGTGTTGGGAGAGATAGCAAGCTGGTGAATGACAGCATCAGGATCCAAAAATATCTGGAGAGGCTAGAACGATGAGCCAGAGCAATTAAGAGGAAAACGAATGGAGATAAAGTTCTGTACTTGGTTTAAAAATAGAACAAGTACAGGATAGGGGAGATGTGGCTTGTGTGAATAAGATCTGGGGATTTTAGGGTACTACAAGCTACCCTACACTATATTATGTGTCTAGAATGAGGGATGTGATAGCTTCGCTGTTCTCTACCTTGATCAGACTACATTTGAACCACCATTTGCCATTCTGGGCACTGCATGTTAGAAAAGACATTGATGTCCAGAAGACAAAGATGAAGACAGTGAGAATGCTGGAGTCTGCTATTATATAGGATCTGAGGGTGTTTAGCCTGGAGTTAAAAAGACTTCTGAGGGAGGTGATCAATCATTACCCTCGAGTATTGGAAAGGCCATCATATGGAAGTAGGGTTAGCCTTGGTCTGCTTGGCCCCAGTGAGCAGAATTAGGAGAAATGAACTGAAACTAGAGAGGCAAGTTTAGATTTGATGTAAGGAAGAGCTTCCTCCACATTGCAGCTGTCCCAAAGTGAACTAGCCCTTCTTACGAGGTTGTACATTTCCCCTTGCTGAAACTGTTCAAGCAGAGGGTCTAAGACAGGGGTAGGAAACCTGCGGCCTCGAGGCTACATGTGGCACTTTAGGTCTTCCAATTCAGCCCTTTGACTGAATCCAAACTTCACTGAAGTGGCCAAATGTGGCCTCAAGGCCACAGGTTCTGCACTCCTGGTCTAGGATGTCAGTGATGTTGCAGTAGAAGGTCAGGTTAGACTAGATCACTCTTAGATCCCTCCCAACTCTGAAATGCTGTCATTCTGAGACTACTACTTACTCTTGACTCTAGGCAAGGCCTTTCCCCAAGCCCCCACAAAAGTCAAGCCACCATGATTATTGATAATGCCATCATCATTACACCTGGGGCTTTATTGGACTTAGACTCTCTCATTCCCGGCCACGTTCCCGTTTCCCGTGTAGCCACTACACCAGCTCTAGCTGCCGATTCTTGAGGGGGGGCAGAGTGCGGTTGGTGGTTCGGTTAAAGGTATCTACCTCCGGCACAAACTTCTCAGCTGGTACCGTCAGCTTGCGTCGGGTGTCCAAACACTTGTTGTCCAGCAGCAAAGAGTTGGACTTGCAGGCGATGTCAGCCTGGATCCGGGCCAGATGCTTGTAAAGGGCATCTAGGGCATCCCTGGGGGTGTTGAGGAACACTTAGGGCCAGGCTGCTTCTGCCCTCTCTCCTTGTGCCCCAGGCAAAGTCCCACAAAAAGAGGGAGGGGAAAGGGGCCTCAACTTCAGCATGGCTATTATTACGATGCACTTAGCCACAGCAAAGACAGAAAGCAAAGACAGAAAGTGGTCAAGGCCCCATGAGTCCTAGCCCCGGACCCAGGACTCTTCTAGTCTAGCTCTGGCATTAGCTCATTGTATGTCTGGGAAAGTCCCTTACCTTCCCTGGACCTCATTTTCCTGACCTGTAAAATGAGGGCATTAGACAACGATCCTTGGGGATGCCCTCATACTCCCAAATATTACCCTACTCTTTGCCCAGGAAATGTTCTTTGTATTCTTCCACCTCTGTGCTTTTGCTCATCTGGCCACTTGTACCAGGAACATCCTTTCCCCTTCCTGTTTCAAACCCTCCCCCCCTCTTTTAAAGCCTAATTCACATGCCATCTCCTCCAGGAAGCCTTTCTTGATCCCCAGGCTCCATAAGAACATTTCCCCTAGGACTTCACATAGCATTCTGTCTGTACTTCCTCCCATGCACTGATCATTTCATATCATGTATCTGTGGTTCACTTTGTATGTCTTTGGAGCTCCAGAAGGGAAAGGTGTCTTGTCTAATCATTTTATCTCCCTCAGCTCCAAGTATACAGTTCTTTGCATGAGCACAATAGGTACTTCATGTTGGTTGAATGAACAACTCCTATGACCTGGGGGCCTGTTTATCTGTGGTCAGGATCCATGTCAGCCAATGGGGTGGCTTACGGGGCCCCAGGACTCTCCAGTTCACTAGGCCCCAAACCTACTGTGACTGGGCCAGTTTCTGCTTCAGGGTGGCTATGGTAGCTTCCAGCTGGTGCACTTCATCAGTGAGCCCATATTGTACCTGGTGAAGAAGGGATGGGGATCAGGGGAATTGACCTCCTGCAGACCTCCCACAGAGCTTAGCCCTGTATGTTTGTGTTCATCTCTCTGGAGCTGAGAGGGAAGGATCCTGAGGTTGTTCTGAGATCCAGCTCTGTTACTGTTTGTCCCTGCCTAGGTTACTTCCCCTCCTTGTAGATCTCCATTTCTTCAGGACCTCTGTGCCACTGGCTTCGGGATCTAGCTGGGGAACTCCGTTATCCCTGGGTAGGCACAGACATATGCAAACGCATGCACACACCTGGTCCCTGCACATCTCCATACTGGGTCTGTATGTTCGGGTTTCTAGCCGGGTGTGCGCTAGCTTCAGATTCTTCATCTTTACTCGTAGATCTTCCTCTAGCCGTCGGATGTCCTCCTCCAACTCTGCAATTTCTTCCAAGGTCTTAGGGAAGAGGCCAGAGGGTGGGGGGACAGGCTTTCCTGCCTACTCTGCTCTGCTGACTGACAACCCCCTCAACATTGATTTGACTCCTTGCCCACCATCTCCCCATGCCTACCCTTGTTCCTCACCCCCAGCTCCCCCAGGGGACCCTGGAGGCCACTGGACTCCTTACATTTTTCTCCTGCCACTTGAGCTCATTCAGGGCCCTCTCTAGTTCTCGAACCCTCTTTCTGAAGGCAAACTCAGTGGCCACACGCTGGGCTTCCAATTCATTGTTGGTCTGGGGTTAAGGATCAGGGGATAAAGGAGGTGAGAACAGGGCCAGGGAGATAATGAAGTGTGAATGGGGTATGGGAATATGACAGGGATCAGGGGAGAAGTTGATATCCTGCTAAAGAGATGGTCCATCAAGGGGGAAGGGAAGATGGGCATATGTATGTCTCTGATAGACAGATGAGTTTATTTATGTTTGGAAAGGATGGTGACTAGCTCCCTGAGCAGGGAGGGAAATGGGTTTTGGGGAGCCTGGGTGGTTGGGCTCACCTCAGCAATGGTAAGGGCTGTAGCTTCACGCAGATCTGCAGAAGCCTTCCTCTCAGCCTCTGCTCGGTCCTTGTTGTAGTGACTGTACTCATCCCACTGCTGTATCGTGCAAGAGCTGGGGCAGCCAGAAGAGCACAGGCCAGCCCCACAAGGGTTAGGCATGGGCCCCAAAGGAGTCAGACACAGGCCACACATGCATTGAACAAGGATCAGATGTGAATCCTATAAGGGCTATCTGGTGGAGAGGATGGGTGAATGAGTAGTTGGTCAGGCCCCATGGGTAGGGAGGGTCCACACACCAAGGAGGAAGACAGAGAAGACAAGGGAAGAAGGAGTCTCAGGACCAAAGGCCCAGACTTACCCATTGGGAATGTGGGTAGGGTTGACCTTCAGGGAGATGTTGGGAGAGTGAACATTGAGTGAGAGGCAGACACGGTCAATCTCAAGTGCTTCCATCTTGCCTCGATGGTCAGAGTTCAGTTGCTGCCTTGCCTCTTGAAGAAGACTAGGGAGGGCAAGGACATAAGGGTTCAGGTGTCTTCCATAGTTACTAACCAGCCTAGAAAAGCCCTTCCCTGGACAGATGGATATAGTGTTCAGGCCCAGGCTAGGGCCTGGTTAGGACAGGGCTCCCTCAGGTGGAAGCTGAGTGAGGAAGAGTCTCTTCCCTGGCCTTTACCTCTCATTCATTGTAGGGTAATGAGATACCCAGATATCCTAATACCAGCTTCAAAGCCCTGAGCTTTCTATCTGCCTAGACATCACATCTGCCAAAGAATAGTGTGGACAGCACAAAGACCTCCAACTTTGGATCTAAGAGGTCTGGGTTCTAGACCTGGTTCTACCATTGCCTTGATACAATGACTTGAGTGAGGCGTTCTCCTCTTTGGGCATCAGTTTTCCTACTTCTAAAGATGAGGCGGGGGTGGGAGGGAAGAATTGTACTGGATCTTTAAGATTTCTTCTAGCTCTGGCATTCTACTAATCTATAACCTCCCTCATTGTCCAGAGGAGGAAACCAAAGTCCAGAAAGAGAGAGTGATTTGGAGTCACAACTAGAACCCAGGTCTCCTGACTCCCAGCCCTGGCTTTTTCTGCAGCATTAGTCTGCCTGGTATTAGAGGTGCCAACACTACAGTGGGTAATTTTGATTCTGTGACCTTGAGATTAAGATTCTCATGCTCTGACTGAATGCCAGTTTTCATGGCATTTTCTCTTCTGTTATCTTACTTTATCCTCACAGCAGCCCTGCAAAGTAGGTAAGTGTTGAGGTGCTTTATAGGTCAGGCTAGGAATTTGTTGTTCAGTTGTGTCCGACTCTCCATGATCCCATTTGGGGTTTTCTTGGCAAAGATACTGGAGTGGTTTGCCATTTCCTTCTTCAGCTCATTTGACAGATGATGAAACTGAGGCAAACAGGGTTAACTAACTTGCCCAGGGTCACACAGCTAGTAAATGTCTAAGGCCAGATTTGAACTCATGAAGAAGAGTCTTCCTTATTCCAAGCCCAGTGCTCTATCAACTGTGCCACCTAGCTGCTTAGGCTAGGAAAGGAAGGTGCCAAAGGTTGGGGATCAATCAGTAATGGGCCCAGAGTGAAAGGGTCTCTATGAAAATGTAGGTTCCAGAGAAAGCTTAGTTTGAGTGGGTGGAGGCAACAGTCTGAGAGGTAGTGGGTGAAAAGTAACGTGGGGGCAAACAAAACTTCATTTCAGTATTGCCCCCATGTACTGTATGCTTAGCTAGGTTGTCTGAAGAAAGAGTGGATCGAGACGAGAAAGTCCTGTACAGTTATATTCCAATTAGGCTATCTAGAATGAGATTTGGTAATGACAGAAATTGTCAGTTACAGAATATAGAATATCAGGGGGAGAGGAGAGATGGGGAGAAAATTTGGAACTCAAAATCTTATGGAAGTGAATGTTGAAAACTAAAAATAAATAAATTAATAAAAAATCATTATTAGATAACTTTACTAGTCTTAAAAATGTATTTTGAAGTCTAGAGATCCTTTTCCCTCTCTGTGACAACATTTTTTCATTAGTTCCCTTGAGATTCTAGACCTTTTGTTCCTCCAAGTGAATTGTATTATTATTTTGTCTAGCTCATTAAAATTAAATTTTGGCAGTTTGATTGGTGTATTTATAAGTTACTTTAAGAAGTAGAATGGTAATTTTAATCATATTGGCATGACCCCAGCAAGACAATGAATACCTTAACAACTATTTATTTTTTACATTTATAATGACAATTTTGTGATTTTATTTATATTTCTTGATTGTGCTTACAGTTTGACTTAGATATTTTATGCATATGATAGTTATTTTAAATTCATGTAATTAAAATAATAAATGGTATTTATATAGTTATTGGTAACATACCATAGTCTCCTTATGTCAACCACATGCCTTTCTTTATGTTGGCTTTAATTTTAGTTATTTTGAAATTATTGTACTACATGATTCATGGTGGCATTAGAATAGGTTTCTATGTTAGCAAATAGTTTGGAATCATTGAAAGTACCAAAATTCCCAAGAGGCAATCCTGTCTGATCGCTTACTCTTACAAGCTTGTGGTACCAGCTTATTATCTGTGGATTGACATAATGAATGAATGTAAACTGGACATTGCCCTAAGCACTGAGGATACAAATGAAAAACATATTCCTTGCCGTTAGAGAGCTTCTATTACAATGAGGGAGGGCAACACACACACACACACAAAAGAATATAGAATGTCAGGGGTGGAAGGGATCTTAGAGATCCTTCATTTATGTAGGAGGAAAATGGGATCCAGAAAAGGAAAGGAATTGCTCCAGGACACAGTCTATGATGGTCAGATAGTGTGATGCCATTGTCCAACCCTAAGTCGATTGACATCTATTTAACACTGGGATTTGAAGGGAATATAAAAAGGTGTCAAGGCTTGTTCTCATCTAGGGAAGTCTTTTAAGAAGGGGCAACAAGGCATCCTGGGTGATCCAATGTCCATATATGAATGTACAAAGTATAGACAACAAGCAACTAGAGATTCTAATACAAGGAACATGGATTTGACCTTGGAGGTGCTACTGAGACTTGGTGGGATAAGACCCATGGCTGGCATATGGCTCTGAAAGGATAGGGAAAAGGGACTGGGCAGAATAGAATTGTAAATGATTATATGTGAGGCGATCCAGGAAGTGAGGAGGGGGCACAGCTTGGGAAGCACGGTGGAGAGAATCTGGTGGAAGATGAATAAGACAACTGTCTTTAAGCATTTCAAGGGCTGATACAGAGGACAGATTGGCCCCAAGGGCAGAACTTGAAGCAGTGAATGGAAGTTGGAAAGTAAGCCTAATGGGAAGAAAAAATGATTGCTAATAGAACTATCCAAAAAGGAAATAGTGGACTATGCCAGGGCTGAAGGCGGTGGGCTCTCAGGGATTCATGGCCGGGGAGCCTTGTACTAGCTGGCCTCTGTGCTCTCTTCTGGCTCTGAAGGCCTGGGATTCTATGGGATCCTTTGGCAGAATCCAACAATAGCAGGTGGTATAGAGGTTAGGGTGTTGGACTTGGACTCAGGTGGAGCCAGGTTTGAGTCGTGCCTCTGAGACCAGCTGTGTGACCATAGAGCCTTTCTAAACCTCTAAACCTCATCTGTCGTGAATAAATTTTGCCTGTAGTTCCTGTGCTTTACAGAATCGTTAGAAGGTTCAGACGAGATTATAATGTAAGCAGGGTTCTTTGTGAACCTCAGATCAACAACTGTTATCACTGATTACTCCTCTCTCTCCTCCTGCCCCCAATATTCCTCCTTTTGGCATTGGAGACATTGCTCTAAACAACACCGCTTTCTACGTGTTTTCCTACCTGTTGTGCCAAGCCTTCTTAGTCTACTTTTCTAGGTCATCATCTCTTTCTTGCCACCACACCGCCATCCTGGCTAAGCCTGAGTCATCCCTCATGACTCTCTGTACTGGAACCTCTTCTCTTCTCAAACTACACATTACTTTATGGTCATCTTGTCCATACGTAAAGTTTGAATTCCATGACACAGATGATTCCCAAATCTCCCTATTTCCAGTCACAATATCTCCCTTTTACTCCAGAGTCCTGCATCTCCAGCTCCCTACCAAAGTATCTTTATGTGCATATCCTGCTGGGACCTCCAACTCAACATGTCCAAAAGTGAACTCAACAGCAACATCTCCCCCATGCCTCCAGACCTTTTCCTCATCTCGACTTCCCTGGTTTGGTTGATGGAACATAGATTCCTGGACCCAGAACTTTGGAATCATCTTTGACCCCCTGTTCTTCCTTACCCTTCCCTTGTACTACCCCTCCTCCATCTAATGAGTTACCAAATCTTGTCATTTCAGTCTCCACTCTATCTTTTGACCCATTTCTTCCACGCACCATTCTAGTTGAGGCCTTCATCACTTCTCACTTTGTCTAGCTTCCTAAACCGGTCTCCCTGCCTCCAGGTTCTTCCCTCACCAACCAATCCTTCATATAGTTGCCAAAATAATCTTCCTAAGGCACAGGTCCCATCATGTCACTCTCTTCTTTTTTTGGGGGGGGGCCTATTGGGGTTAAGTGACTTGCCCAGGGTCACATAGCTAGTAAGTGTCAAGTGTTTGGTCTGAGGCCGGATTTAAACTCAGGTCCTCCTGACTTCAGGGCTGGTGTTCTATCCATTGAGCTACCTAGCTGCCCCATGTTAGCCGGACTCTTGAGGAATCTGAGAGTCTGTGAGGTACTGGCCAGATTTGAAGAATCTGAGCAGGGGCAAGATTTGAAGAATCTAAGCCCACTCTCTTCTTTAAAAAACCTTCAGTGATCCTCTTTATTGGTTCTAGGAAAAAAATATACATTTCTTAGCATTGGAGGACCTCCACAATCTGGCTCCAAATCTACTTTTTTTAAACCTCATTTGCATTTGACTCATCATACATTCTGTGCTGCAGCTAAGCTGGAATTCTAGCTTTTCCCCAAACCTAGCATCTCATCTTCCACCTCTCTGAATTTGCCTAGGCTGCCCCCAGGCCTGAAATGCACCACTCTGCCTCACCTTCCAAAATCCCTATTATCTCCCTATAAGGCAAGCTGAGGCTCAGAGGCCCATCACCTCCAGGAAGCCTTCTCTATTATACACATATGCCCACCTACAAGTGTTCTGTCTTGCATCAGATTTTCTTAGAAAATGTTGCCTGGATCTCTCCTTTGACCTGGTCACACTTTGTTTTGTATCCCCTTCATTTGTAGATGGATTATCCACATACCACCCTGAATAAAATGTTAGCTCTTTGAAGGCAGAAACAGGTCATTTCTTCTCTTTGTATCCTTGGCATTTAATGCAGTGTCTTACACCTAGCAGTCACTTTGTGCTTGGAGGTGAACTGAATTCTGAGAGGGGAGATGACCATTATCACCACAGGGCTCCACATGTGGGAAAGACCAGTGTGTACCATCTACCTCCAAGTTCCTCTAGGAAGCAGGTCATAAATCACCCCCTATTTTTTCAGATAATTCCAGATCATTCATAATCCCTCCCAACCAGAAGCTTAATATTGCATATGTGTTCAATAAATACTCCAGGAATGAATGCCTCTAATTTATGATGTGTGGCCACAAGAACATTGACACTTTAATATACTCTGCGTATCAGTGGGCATTTTAGTAAGCATACTTGCACATGTATCTCATATGGGGCACGCATATGCAAGCATATCTAACATACCCTGGGCAGACATTGAGCATATGCACACCCATGTAAAAGACATGTATGTGTGTGTGTGTAAAAGCAGGAATGCACAGGCATAGCCAGGCTGACCCCCATGTTTGCTTATGAGCACAGGTACCGTTTTCCTTTCAGTCCTTACCAAAGCTGCTCAAAAACCTCTCTGATCTTCTGCTGCAGGGCCTCCTTGGCACAATCAATCACCTCCACTTCCTTGTGTAGCTCATCCTCTGCAAAATCCTTCACCACATCAATGTCCCGCCGGCTCTCCCGCAGCGTTAGGCACTCAATTGCCACATCCAGAGGGAGGTTCTTGGCCTGCAGGGCCCTCTCTGCTGCCTCCTTCATCTGGGGGTAAGGGACAGGGGGAGGGAAGTCCAAAAGGATTCTCCCAAGTTGGACTGCTGCCCTGTCAAACCTCTTGGCACTAGAGTGGGTGCCAGCTGAGGCCAGCAATACCTCCCTGCCCAAGAGGGATGCTGTCCCGTGATGCCCTGGTACCCAACTTTACACCCTGCCCTCAGCTCCCTTGCCTGTGTCATGGCATCAATCTCAGCATCTATGTCAGTCAGACATTTGTCTAGTATCTCCTTCCATCGGTCAACAGAATCTATGCGCTCTGATAGGCGGGTCTGGTTGTCATGTTCATCCCATATGGTCTGGAAGAGAGAAGAGTTATGTGAGAGGGAGCATGATATAGCAGAAAAAAGACTAGACTCTGACAAAAGCTGTGTGACATTGGGCAAAATACCTAAGCTCTCTGAGTCTGTTTCTGCATGAGTAAAATGTGGTTAATTGAGTAATTCACCTTGCAGTGTAGCTGTGGTAAGGTGCATGCTTTGGAAGGCTTGAAGCATCATTACAGCCGGGGAGTTGTTGGCAGTTAGGAATTTCAAGGACAAGGAATGAAGAGGGTGTATGTCTCTGCTCATTCTCCTTACCTGGTTGTTGGTCTCGTTGCGAAGGATGCGGCACTCTTGTCTGATCTGGTGTGAGGCATCCCTCTGCTGCTCAGCATTAGAGGAAAGCAAGTAGCTGTTAATGTGCCAGTCAGGGAGCCGGAAACGCTGGCCAGGCTTGATGCTCAGTATGGCCATGGTTCAAGGCTGGCAGGGGCACTCACACCCTGACCCTGGATGCTTCGAGCCCACTGAGACAAAAAAAAAAAAGTCGGCCTAGAGAAAACCATCTAACAGCTTCTCTTCCCTTCCCATTCCCCATTCCCTGCCATATATTTTACTCCCTGCCCACCTACCCTTTTCCCTTTCCAGAATGAACTTAAAAGGTATTTTTCTCTGGTAAGCTTGCTTCTCTTTTCACAGTGTATATGCACCTATATACAGAGAAAGAAAAAGGGGACAAATCCTCTTTTTTTCCAAGCCCCAGCTTGGAATATAATCAGCATGCCCCTAAGAAAGAGTCTGAACTAAAGTAAAGTTAGCTGATGGTGTTGAATACCCCTAGTTGAGCTGAGCTTAGCTGATAGGGGGAGCCACCATGTATTGGCAGAAGATGGCCTGGTGGACAAGAACATTAGGATCACCTCGTCCCACTTCCTCCCCTACCCCAAGTACGCCAGTCTCAATCAAACCAGTTTTCATTGTCTCAGTCAAGTCTCCTCTCTTCAAACCCTACAAAAAGCTCTGGGCTGCAGGCTATGTGGGAGACTAGGGAAGTGTGAGTAAGATGTAGCCCTGGGGATCTCAGTCTGGTTGAAAGCTCCTGAGAGGGGCCTCACTCAGCACCTCAGTCTTGGAGGGCTGCCCAGTCTTCCCTGCCTCCCAGGAGAGAATGGAAGGGCATGGTCAGGCTTGGTAGAATGAGGACAAAGTGGGAGCCCAGCTGGCTCTCTAGTGACAAGGGGAGATTCCCTGTGAGTGAGAGAGTGCCCCAGGTCTGAGTTTTCCACTCCCTAGCCCCTTTCCCCACTAGCTTCGCAGGGTTCTTACCTCTTCTTCTTCGTCCAAAACTATTCTCTTTGTCCACTTAAGCTACCCCGCAGGTGTTAAGCATGCCCCGCGAGTAGCTAGGCAACGGCTCTTCCCGAGAGCCAATGAGAGCCAACCCTCTCTTGTTTAACTAGGCAACGCAAGTGAGCAGAAAACACAAGGAGGAGGGAGCTGGGGATCTGGGGATCTAAGGGAGGGATTCTTTGGTGGGGCGGGGCCTAAGTGGTGAGTTATGACGTCAGCGCCAAAGTCTCTGATAGGGGAAGACATAGCCAGGATTCTGTCGGTTAAGATCACTGTTGGGAAATGGGAAAATAGCCTGTCCTGTCCACGAGTGACGGAATGCTGGTTGTATGGCCGGCTATAGGAAAGTCACAAGCCCTTTGGGTTTCAGTTTCCATATTTGTAAAATGCCTGGGATATCTAACTTCTCGGGACTGATGTGAGTATCAAATGAGATAATGTATGCAGAGCGATTTGTGACCAGGGTGAATGCAAGTATTAGTTTGCTTAAGATCAAGATAAATGTGAGAAAGGGGAAATAAAGGGTGAGAGAAAACTAAGAAAAAATGTGTGCGTGCGCGCGTGTGTGTGTGTGTGTGTGTGTGTACATATACATAGGCACATATATGCATGCACACATACATATACATGGAAGGAAACAAGCATTTATTAAGCACCATGATAAGCATTTTACAAATATTATCTCATTTGATCCTCACGACAATCCTGGGAGGTAGGTGCTAATATTATCCCCATTTTACAGATGAGGAAACCGAGGCAGACAAAGATTAAGTGACTTGTCCAGGGTCACAAAGCTAGTATATGAAGCTGAATTCAAGTCTTCCTGATTCCAGTCCCAGTGGTCTATTCATTGCACCTAGCTTCCTTATTATTGGCATGTGAACACAAACATACTTCAAATTAGCATTAATCTATTTCCAAGGTTGATGCTCAAAGGGATCTGCAGTCTCAGTCCTCTGGAGTTCCCTCCGGCAATGCAGATTTAAACCCCATCTGTGCTTTCCTGTCCTGTGAGTCTTAACCACATTATCCCACAAATTTTCCACAGGGGTCCACCCAAGTATTGGAAGCCTTACTTGCTTTCTCCTTATATCTTGAGTAGTTCATTGGAGGACTTGAGCTGTTGATCTTTTACCCCATGCCCTAGTCACACTTTATCAAGATTGATATAACAGGAGCTTAATGTGAAATAGATTTAAAAAATTAACTGAAAACTGCATTTTGAAAGGAGAATTGACCAATTAATGCACACCCAGAGGAGGACAACCAGGATCATGAGGGGACCTGAAACCTTATCATATATGAAAAAGGGCTGAAGGAACCTGGAATGTATTTGACCTGGAGAACAGAATTATTGGTTGAAGGAGAAGGGGGAATGTAGAACAGTTAGGATCACCATCTTCAAATTTGTAGAAGATACAAAGGGAATAAATTTGTTTACTATTGCTCCTGAGAGCATAACTAGACTTAATGGGTGGTTGTTGTAGGGATTTGGGCTCAATACTACAATCAAAGTAAACTCAGCAAGGGAATTGTCTGCTTCTTGAAGCCCTGAGCTTTTGATCACTGAGTATTCAAGTCAAGACTGATTTCTATTTCACACATATTACAGACGAGATTTTTGTACTAGTTGGGAAGCTGTGCTAAACAACCTCAGACCTTAAGAATTTTAGAGCTAGAAGGAACCTTAGAGTTCATTTAACCGTACTCCCATCATATCAGGGATGGGGAAAATGAAGCCAACAGAAGGGACTTGGGACGTGCCGTATTCAACACCAAGTGGCTGCAAGCAGTGTCAGTACCAAGTTTGCTGATTCCTACGCAGGAAAAACCTTCATTTGACTCTGCTAGTCAATTATTGTTACATCTCTTCTCTTTTTAACTGCTCAGCTTTCATAGAGTTGTTTGTGTTCAATGTCTCCCCTTCCTCTGCATCAGCTTGTCCTAGAGCTTTGCAGTCTTGTTGCTGAAGACTTCTTCCCTCTACTGTAACTATTATCTCCAGGGTTACCAATCTCCCTTCAAAATGTTTTATTGATTCAAAACACATTTAACACGGCTACCACGTCCTAATGATTCCCCTCATCCCATCTAAGAGAGTTCTTCCTGGTAACAGATAAGTATACCAATAAGGCAGGCAGGAGGATGCTTCATTACTGGATTACAGCACCCGCCCAAGCTCTGAAGTCTTGCGGTCTTGTTTTTCTTGACATCATTGAGGTCCTTGTGTAAAATGTTCTCCTTGGTTGGCTTACTTCACTGTACTAATTCATATGTCTTCCCATGGTTTTTTTAAATTCTTCATATCCATAATTTTTCTTTCCTTCAGTTAAAATTTCTTTTTCATTATTATGAACTTGAGAATGCATTAGAAACCATTAATGTCATCTGTGTACAGGATTTTTTTTTGTTTTCATTTTTGTCTATTTCTAATTTATCATGGTAGTTCCAACATTGCCCTGCTGGTTTATCCCCTTAGAAACTTCTTTTTCTCTTTTGTTTATTTTTTTTAACTATACATTCATGTTATTTGATTCCTTTTTTTTTTTTAATATCATCACTATTCCCTCCTACTCCTCTCCTAACTTCCTCACCAACCCCTCCCTGAAGGAAGGGAATGTCTTTTTACTTGTATTTATCTCTCCATTGCTTAACATGGGTACCTGACATTTAGTAAACACTAAGCATTTAATGTTTGCTACCTTTCTTTGATGATCTCAATCCATTTCATGCTCACTCATCATGAGGATCCCCCAATGATGCTAGGCTCCTTTCTCTTCTCTCTCTATAATATCTTGCTTGGTGATCTCAACAGCTCCCATAGTTTTGTTTTGTTTTGTTTTTTTGTTTTTTTTAGGCAATTGGGGTTAAGTGACTTGCCCAGGGTCACACAGCTAGTAAGTATCAAGTGTTTGGTCTGAGGCCGGATTTGAACTCAGGTACTCCTGACTTCAGGGCCAGGGCTCTGTCCTCTGCGCCACCTAGCTGACCCCAGCTCCCATAGTTTTGATGAACATCTCTGTGCAGATGATTTCCAAGTCTATATATCCAAGCTAAGTCTCTCTCCAGAGCCCTAATTCTGCATTACTAAGCATTCTAGACATCTTGAATCAAACCCAAAATGCCCAAAGTAGAACTCATTCTCTTTCTTCCCAAACCCTCCCCCTTTTCCCATCTTCCTGATTACTTTTGAAGTAATCCTCTCAGTCATTCAGGCTCATGTCATCCTCAACTCCTCACTTTTACTCACTTAATACTCCAATCTGATGCTAAATCTTGTCACCTTACCTTTAAAATATTTCTCATATACAATCCCTTCTCTTTATTCACACAACCACAACCCTAGTTCATGCCCTCATTATCTCTTTTTTAAATTATTTTTAATTTTTAACATCCTTTTTTAAAAATTTTAAGTTCCAGATTCTCTCCCTCCCACACCCATTGAGAAGGCAAACAATATATCTAGTATACATATTGAAATCACACAAAACACATTTCCATATTAGCCATATCACAAAAAAACAAAAAAAAATGAAAGTAAGAAAATCATACTTCAGTTTGCACTGAGTTCATTTCTGTCTCTGGAGGTAGATAGATAGCATCTTTTCGTCATGAGCCCTTAGAATTGTCCTGGATCACTGTATTAATCAGAGCAGCCAAGTCTTTCACAGTTGATCATCATTACAACATTGCTGTTACTGTGCCCAGTGATCTCCTGGTTCTTCTCACTTCACTTTGTTATCAGTTCATATAGGTCTTGCCAAGGTTATTTTTTTTTCTCCTGAAACTACTTCCTTGTCATTTTTTATAGGACAATAGTACTCCATCATAATCATATACCATAACTTGTTTAGCCATTCCCCAATTGATGGCAGCATCTTCTGAATTTCCAGTTCTTTGCTACCACAAAAAGAGCTGCTGTCACTATTTTTGTACCTATTTCTTTGATCTCTTTTGGTTACAGACCTGTAGTGGTATTGCTGAATCAAAGGGTATGCATAATTTTATAAGCCTTTGGGAATAGTTCCAGATTGTTCTTCAGAATGGCTGGACAAGTTCATTTCTCTACTAATAGTTCATTAATGTACCTGTTTTCCCTCCATCATTTGTCATTTCTGATAAGTGTGAGGTGGGTACCTCAGAGTTGTTTTAATTTACTTTTCTCTAATCAACAGTGATTTAGAGCATTTTTTTTCATATTACTATAGAGAGCTGAAATTTACCTGTTCATATTCTTGACCATTTGTCAACTGGGGAATTGCTTATTTTTATAAATCTGACTCAGTTCCCTATATATTTGAGAAATGAGGCCTTTGTCAGAGAAACTTATTGTAAAAATTTTTTATATTCTGTGATTGTCTATGGTACCTTTTAGCAAAATTTCCCTGATTATCTCTTTCAATTAGGTCTAATTTTTCTTTTGCACTCTCTGAGATCATGATTGCCACCCCTGCCCGCTTCACTTCAGCTGAAGCATAATAGACTCTATTCCAGTCCTTCATTTTCAGTCTTCTGACAAGTCAGGCTAGGGAGGGATGAAGATCTTTCCCTAGTTAATGGTCATCCTCTTTAATGCAGAAACTCTCTTTTCACTAGTCAGATTCTCAAGACTAGACAAATCTCTCTCAGGACAACTTTTTGATCACCTTTGAATGCTTCTCTTGACTCCTGTATTCTACTTAGCTCTGGTCTTTTCATTGGGGATGCCCATGGAAGTCCTTTATTTCATTAAGGAACCATTTTCCCCTATAGTATTACACTCAGTTTTGCTGGGTAGGTTTTTCTTGGTTGTAAGCTTAGACCTTTGAGTCTTCACTCCTTTAGAGTGGTGGCTAAATTTTGACTGTGGCACCTTGCTATTGGAATTCTTTCTGTCTGACTGCTTGCAGCATTTTTCTTTGATCTGGGAGTTGGGATTTTGTTTATAATATTCTTGGGAGTTTTCATTTGTGGGTTACTTTCAGAAGATGACCAGTGGATTCTTTCAATTTCTGTTTCACCTATTGGTTCTAAGAGATTTAGACAGTTTTAGTTTATGATTCATTGGAAACGTGTTGTCTAGGTCCTTTTTTTGTCATGGTTGTTTTCCAGGTCAGGTGTTTTTGTTTTTGTTTTTTTGCTATGAGATATCTGACATTTTCTTCTATTTTTTTCAGTCCTTTG